AAACTCATTGTAAGAGAACAAGGTATGAAGATATATGAGGAAAAATAGGGGCACGAGCAACTGGACGAGCAGCAAAGTTATAAGCTTTATTTGAATGATAGAGTGTAAAATCAAGAAGACCGTAGTAGAGCGAGTTACAATAATAAATTCGAGATAAAACTAATGAAGTACCAAGTAAGAGTAGGATCATCAATGAAAGGTCACAATTTTTTAATTCTACGTAGATGAAAATAAAAACATTAATGTGAAAAGAAAGAGACATGGTGGAATCAAAAATGGAGCCAATACAACGAAACTTATAAAAAAATGTAGAGTTCTAGAATGCGGTAAGATATCATTAGAAAGAAAAGTACAAACAATCAAACAAGATTAGTTTCAACTTATAAGGATTAAGTAAGTTGATAATAACGACAACTGTATTTGTAAGCGTTTTCAAAAGAATTATTTCCTCCTTCCAGTCACACCTCAAATAGAAGTTGATTACTTGCTGCATCCACTACCGCCGAGATACATTTGTTAAGAAATATCACTACATTTTCAGTTTTGATGAGTTTCTAGTTCAGTTTTTCAATACTTTGTATTGCATTTTTATCATAATTTTTTAGCTAATTTATATAGAAAACAAAGTTTTAAACTACTTTTTGATTCATTTTATCTTATAGAGAAAAATTTTTTTTTGGAAAATCCTTTACCATTTTCAATGTGGTATGTTATGTTATCAACTATTGGTTGTGTCTTATATATATTTATATATGTGCGTTTTTTACTTTATTGGCTCCAAAAATTAACTTTGCAATGATCTATAATTTCCCTTTATTAGTAGTTTTTTTGTCAGTAATAAAGTTATTGCATTCTGTTGTATATTTATTACAGGTACATAAACAAATTCTATCCATGGTGGAAATTAATGGAAAGTTGCAGCACGCCAATAAAATTTGAAAATACTACGGGAAGATAGAGGCAGTTGTTAATAGTTTTGCCATATTACGAAAGCAAGATAAATTGTTTGGGCAGATAGAAACGTTTGACAAAGATCAGAAAAGAGAGGAAGAGAGATTGTTAAAAAGTTTCTGTCTTGTCTTATCCTGAAAATACCACGAGAGGAGAAAGGCGGCAATTGTTAATAGTTTTGCCATATAACGAGAGCAAGATAAATTGTTTGGGCAGATAGAAACGTTTGACATAGATCAGAAAAGGGAGGAAGAGAGATTTTATTTATTTTATTTTTATTCGTTTATTTGCCAAACAAGCGGGAGACCGTAACGAACTATAACTAGCTCAAAAAGTACTGCCACCCTAAAATATGAAGTGACAAAATGAAATTTCTGCATGAACTAAAATTCACAAAGTTCAAAACAAAACATGAATGTTCCCACAGATATAAAATGTTTAAAGTAAATGGAATGATATTGTCCAAATTAAACGTTAATATACAGAATAGACGCCATTGACAATCAGAAAAATGAAAAACAAGTCATGATACAGGATGCTGATTCAACATAAAAATCTTCAAGCGTTTTTTGAAAATTAATAAATTAGAAATAATTTTAAAGATATTTAGAATTATTTTATTCCAAACCTTGGAACCATAGCAAAAACAGACTTACCTATAACAATTTTAGTCTTGTTGGGTGAATATAAAAAAAATGTTGTTGTCTTGTAACTCTATTTTTTATGTTGTTTTCCAAATACAGACAATTTTTAAAAAAGAAGGTAACAAGTCATTAATATATTTAAAGAAAAAAAACTGCAGAGAAGTATATATATAATTCTTTTATAGTTAGTACACCTACCGAACCAAAAAAGTGTTGCACATGAGAATTATAATTTAAATTTAATAATAATCTTATACATTTTTTCTGTGTTATAAAAATTTAATTAATTAAGTTGTCCCATATAAAGATATCATAAGACAAATAAGGATAAATAAAACATTCATATAATGTTTTTAAGATTGACGCAGTCAATTTATGCTTCAACTTATACAGAATACCAAAGAACTGATTTATTTTCCCAGTTACAAAAGTGATATGGCTAACCCAAGATAAATTACTCTTTAAGTGAATACCTAAAAATTTAAATAAATCAACTTGGTTAATAATATTATTGTTCAAACACAAGTTAAAATTTACATTTTTTGTCACAATTTTCGGACCCAAGATAGCGCAGGCACATTTTCCATTGTTAACTGTTAACCTATTTGTTTTGGACCAATTTTCGATCTTTTTAAATTCTCGATTTATCAAGAACTTATTTATCAACTTCTCTGGATCCAATCATTGTGGGACCGTATGATGTGGTGGTCCATTAGTCCCAATGTGGTGTACTTTGTTTTGATTTTTGTTGTTGCTATTAACAGGCATTGTTAATTTGGGAAACTTGTCAATGATTTTACCAATGTTGTTGTCTGACACCATATACGGTTTGACGCTCGAGATGGTATTGGAGCGTTCGAAAACCACTTGTACCTGTAGCGTAGTGACGTTGTCGAAAATTTTGTGTCTCTTCATGTCGACTGTAATATCGAAGTGTGACAGAAAGTCGGCGGCGCCCAATATTGCCTGTGTGACGTTGGCAATGATGAAAATCTATTGAAGTTTACGTCGTAGACCAAGGTCAATGGTTACGAGTTGTTGGCCAAATGTGTCGATGGTGATGCCATTTGCGGCTTGCAGCCTGTAGTCGGATTAGGGTCGTTGAGGGTATTATGTCGTGAAGGTGTAATGCTTACCTAGGCTCCCGTGTCGACCAAAGAATTTTGATGTAGTGGCCTCTTGTTTTAGCGGCTGTTTGTTGTTGCTTCCCGTAACTCTTGCATGTTGTTGCTTGTTGATGCTTGATATTGATATTGATGCATGAAAGTTTATTGATTTTGATAGTGAACGGTAGCTACAAGGTCATTTGCACTTTTTCGTTTTGCTCAAAAATGGTATCAGCAAATACCTGGTTTGTTGTCATCTGTTGTTTTGAGTGCGGATTTTATCTTAGTTTCTTGCTGTTGTTGATGATGGCAGCGCATGAAAGCGAATACTTCACCCATCTTAGCTGTCTGCTCTTCAATACTGGCTTTTGTTACGGCGTTGTGTGTTGTGGTTGTCGCGTTCTTGCAATTGGCAGTTTGATGTATTCGATTAGCCATATTCGCTAACCTCTGCCTCATCTATTGACGTTGCCAGCTGCATTTGTATTGTGGATAGCAATTTGTCCAACCACAGATGTTTTAAATTGTTTTCGTCTCTGTTGTTAGCCCCCCACAGGCTTTGCATGCGCCTCAGTAGTTGTGATGGCGTCCTGTCTTCAATGACCACTCCTCGAATCAACGTGCGTAAATACCATCTCGACGTCAAACCGTACAAAAACGTTTTCGGCTAAACGAATTGACAAAGAGAAAGAGAGATTCGATTGTAAAACGTAGCGAGAAGGGAAGTTGCCTTTTGTTTTCAAGCTACATATAGCAATGCATAAAATAGGGGTGTGCGGTTCAACAATGTATAGAGTATAAATAGAAAAGGGCTAAGGATAAAACCCTGAGGTACCCCAAAAGTAAAGATAGAAGAGTTGGAAGTAGAATTATTAAAAACAACAGAAAAAAACGATTACAGAGAAAGGAAAAAAACCAAGATAGACAAGAATCAGTAATATTACAAGAATTATCTAACAGCCTCAAGAGAATAGTATGATTAACAGTATCAAAGCTATAATAAAATCAATAGTGTTACCAGAAGTATGAGTAGGAAAAGAACAATATTGAGTTAAGTTAAAAAGAGACAAAATATCTTTAAATCTACGAGTATAAGAACAAGATAAATTATTGAAGTGTAGATTGAAGTCACCAGAGATAGAGAAAAAAATAGAAAATTAGTAGAGAAGTTCAGCGAGCAAGTAAAATTTATTTAAAAATATAGAGAGAGAAGAAGAAAGAGGCCAATAGATTACAGCAATATAAAAAGATAGAGAAAAAAACTCAAAAGATACAAAAAAACATTCAAAAGAAAAATTAATGGAAGTATTGATGGAAGCAGTAAAAAAAGATCTATAGAATAGACAGACTCCCCCATAAAAAGAATAAGAAAAGAGAGGATTTTTTGGAAGTCTAGAGTCTCGTTGTTAAAAGGTTTTAGAACCCATTCAGTCGCAAGAGTAGCAAGAGGTATTATTGATAAACCATTACCCGCTATAGGCCAGACGTACGTTTCGTCTCTCACGAGACTCGTCAGTAGCCTGCCGAATAAGGCTTAAGATAACACAACTCAATTATTGTAACCAAGAAACTCAAATTGAGGTGTCGCGACCAATAGGTAAGAACAACATATATATATATATATATATATATATATATATATATATATATATTTACAATATTCTATAAATTCTACCGAATGTTTGGCGTTAATATGTTTGTAGTTCGTTTTTTCGATTTTTCTCACTAAAGTTTTTTGGTGAACGTTTAGTTTATTAAAATTCAAAATAAACTTATTTTTCGAATTCATGCTGCAAATAAGGCCATATTTCGATTCCGAATGAATCATCATCAGTGCTCCTTGCTGTATATATAGGGAAATATTGACTTTGTCAAGATGAACTTTGACGTTGTAAAAATTAACTTTGATACTAGAAAGGCACCGATTACTCGAGCATGCCTAACCAGTCAACCAATAAAGTTAAAGATAAAGAAATTCTATATCAAAGCAAACTTAGATTTTGTTTCGGGTGTTTTTAAACATAAAAATTTCCCAAGGTAGTATGTATGTCAAATTAATAAAAAAAACTACTAATTCAGTTTTTAAAATAATTTGTAATAATGTATGACGTCATTTAAATTCCAAAAACTTCATCCTAAAAATCGTCTAGCCACCTATCGAGTGAATTAACTTTGCGTTGAGGAATTTGAAGTATTTTTAGTCAGCATTATTTCATAATTCTGACACTTTCCACCACACCCTTATTCTGGTCTAAAAAAAAATTGCGCGCACAATTATAGAAAAGGAATGCCATAGCCAATGAGGAGAAAGCAAGCATTTCGTCCGTTTGCAAAGATCGTATTTGTTTCTTTCTGTGCAAAATTGTTAAATTCGAGTCAGCAGCAAAAATATGGATCAAGAAAAGATGTGACAAAAAGATGCGAGTGTGGGTTTGTGGCTCGAAGGCCCAGGCATTTGCTTAGGCACAAAAAATATAATTGTATGGGGAAGGAGGTCAACAACGTAGACAAGCCGGCACAGGACAAAAGTGCGGAGCCAAGCGTGAAGGAACAGAAGGTCGTCACCAGACTCAACAATGAAGCTGCGGAGGAGTTCATCACCCTTGAGATGGATGAATCGGATATTCAGGCGCTACTTCATGAATTTGGGGATATACCTAATTTAGAATTTAAATTTTTGTAGTTTATTTAGACCGAGTATTAATGTTATCATTCTTATAAAAGTTTATAAAATTTAAAATGGCGTCTGTTTTATATTTACCAACGAAAGATAGTTTAGTAAGTAAGACGCGTATATAAACGTCAAAAGGATTCGTTGTATGATGTACCATTGAGGATGTATTTTGCAATCCAACACCAAATTTATACGTTGTGCGCCAGTTGTCGGAAAATTGTACAGTTCAAACAATAAGTTTCTATATAATGGCATAAAATAAACAAAGAAAACAAAAACATTGTTTTTTACACATGCTTCAATTTATTTATGTGTACGACAATGGTTTTATAACCATTACACTACTTAATCTCAAAATTTACATCACTCATTTTCCTTGAAATCATGTAAGGACCGTCATATAACTTTGTCCACTTAGGATACTTATTTTTAGCGCGCTTTGGATTATAATAATAAATCTTTTGTCATTCTAAAAATTGTTTGTCCTTTACTCTTAAGTCATAGTTATGCTTAGTTATTTTTACTGATCTTTTTAAATGGCTTCGCGCTAACTCAAATGCTTGTGTTAAATTTTCTTTCTGTTCCTTTACAAATTCGTACATTTGCTTTGGTGATGACTTCTCCGTATTATACGCCAAATCAATCGGTATTGTCGCTTCTCTACCATGCATTAAAAAAAAAAGTAAAAATCCAGTACTACTCTGCACTGTTGTTCGTTATGCAAAAATTACGTATGGAAGAATTTCGTCCTAATCTCGATGATTCATATTTATCACTTTTCCTATCATTTTATTGAGGTTTCCATGGAATCTTTTTACCAGACCAATCGTTGAGGGTTTATAGGTAGTGGTACGGATTTTATCTACGCCAAGTTGTTCAAAGATATTTTTAAATAACTGAGATTCAAAATTCTTACCTTGATCAGTTAGTATCTGTCTTGGTAGTACGTATCTACAAAATACATTTTGGATTAATTTATGAGCAACACAAGATGCATCTACGCGTTTCAAAGAAATAGCTTCCGTCCACTTCGTAAAATAATCAATGACAGTTAAGATGTATTTATGCTTCTTATTTGATTCTGGGTGTGGCCCTGTTATATCAACTCTAATCTTTCCTACGGCTCACCGACCAACATTGGCTGTAATTCACCTTGCTTAAAAAGTTTTTGTCGGTTAAATTTGCTACATTGTTCACATAATTTATGGGTTAATTCAACGTCTTTCCTCCAACCAGGCCAATAAAATCTTTTTTCAAATTGCCATGTTAACTTTTTGATTCCTAGGTGGGCTCCATTCATCCCACTGTGCAAATCTCTAAGTACTTCTTGCCGCATTGTGTATGGAACAACTATCTGATCAAAATTGCCAATTCGTCTTTTCAATACACCTTTATCTGTTATAAACAAGTTGTCATACTGTGCAAGTAACACTTTAACATCTTTTCCTCAACAATTTGACTCAAATCTAGTACTACTGAATGTTTGACGATATCTTTAATTAAGGATAGGTCTTTGTCTTTCTCTTGTTCTGCAACACAGTTATCCACTTTATTTTCTGTTATAACACCACATGCTGCTCTTGTATGTTTACTGCGTTTGTATGTTTACTTCCTGGCCTATGCTCTATAGTATAATCGTATTCTTCAAGAATTTCAATCTACCTTGCTTGTTGTCCTATTGGTTCTGGTGTTTTTCTCAACCACTGAAGCGCTGCATAATCTGTTCTTATTTTGAATGAACGACCGATCAAATACGTTCTGAACTTTTTCACAAATGTTATAATTGCAAGTAATTCTTTTCTGGTTACATTGTAATTCATCTCATGTTTATTAAATAACTGACTACCGTAACAAATGGGTTTTTCTACTCCATCTTGTAATTGTGAAAGTACTGCACCCATGGCTTTATCTGAAGCATCGCAATCTAAAATAAACGCGTCCTCGTCATTAGGTAGAGCTAATATTTCAGAACTGATTAATTTTTTCTTCAATCTATCAAAAGTAGTTTGGCATTCGTGTGTCCATTTAAACTTGTTATATTTTTTGTCAATTCATGTAACGGAGCTGCTATTTCTGAAAAATCTGGTACAAATCGTCTGTAGTACTGGCAAAAGCTCTACTTTGTGTTAGTGTAGTTGGTACTGGCCAATCTTTAATTGCCTCAATTTTAATTGGGTCTGTTCCGATCCCTTTATCACTAACTATATAACTTAAATAGCTAACTGATTTCTGCATTAAATGACATTTTGACGGTTTGAGCTTTAAATTGCCTGGTGCAATCTTTGAAACAACAGTCCTAATTTTTTTAAATGTTCGTTTAAATTTTTACTAAATATGATTATATCATCCAAGTAAACTAAACAGGTCTCAAAATTTAATCCTATCTTTAATCGTTATTTCATTTAACTTTTTATAATCTACACAGAATCTATAAGAATTATCTTTCTTTTTAACTAATACTAAATTAGAAGCTCATTCGCTCTGACAAGGTTCTATAACTTTTTGCTGTAACATCTCTTCTAACAAATTGTCAATGATTGGTAGATGTGCTCTAGGTTGCGGTCGCAAAGCTTGGCGAAATGGTCTGTTTGCTCCGGTAGCAATTTCCTGTTGCGTTATATTAGTTCTTCCTAAATCAAACTCGCTTAATGAAAGAATATTTTTATACTTTAATAACAACTTTCTCAAATTACTACGAATATTATCTGGAACACTGGAATGTACCTCATCAACTATTGTATTTATAGTCTCATCATATTCTTTGGTGGGTTTGTTATTTGATTCTTGAACTTTATCAACAACTACAACAACTTCATGCAATTTGGTGATTACTTGATCCTTAGGTAATTCAACTTTTTCATCTGGTATGTTACAAACTCTAATACACGTAAACGGTTTATTGACATTAATTAATGATCTCGTAGTTAGCAAATTGGTTTTGATTTTATTTATACTAGTTGACCATGCTGTATCTTGTTTTAAAGGTTTCAAATTTGATTTTTCTATAAATGTCTGAATGAACATTTCACTGCGGGGTGGAATAACAGCCGTAATTTTCGAAATGCATCTTATATCTGTTTCTTGTCTAGATTTTACGAGGTTGTAACTTTTTCCGTTTATTACAATATTACTCCTTCCAAAATCCCAAATGCAATTGTTATCATACAACCAATTCTTTCCTAAAATTATATGATCAACGTTTGGTGACACATAGAAAGTTGTAAAAATATTCTGATACTTAAATTCTAATGGTAGTGTAATTGTTCTGTTTACTATTAACTCCATGTTATTAACTGCATACTATTCCTTATTACTTTTCCGAATTTTCAAATCATCTGCAAATTTCTTTGGACAAAGATTCACATCTGCACCACTATCTAGTAGACATTTTAAATGTTTAGTTCTAAATACAGCTTCTACATGAACTAATGCTTCCTTATCACGGTTACACTTGAAGGGTGTTTTTACTGTTTGTACGTTTCGATTTATTCTCGTCGTATTTTTAAAACTACCAAATTTTGCCTGAAGTTCGCTTGACTGAAATTTCCATTATTTTGCTGGTAACTACTTTTTCTTTGGTCAGTCGCACTGTTGTTTCTGATGAAATTATTATTTCCAAACTTATTGTTAAAATCTTCTCTCTGACTGTTATTTCCGTTTCCAAACTTATCTCGTTTAATCTCATCAATCATGCTGAACAATTTTCTATTCTGTTGTTCATATTTGTAATTGGATCATCTTGTTTAACAACATTGGATTTCTTGTCATCAAACTCGTCATTATCTTGAACTATCTGAACTAAAGATCTCAATGATTTCTCTTGCCATCATCTGATAAAACTTTATATTTCTCATATAGCTGACATATTTCATCTAATGTTCTTGGTTCTTTGTCTTTTACATAGAACATGTCTTTTTTACCAATAGCATTAATTAAATGTTTTACTGCAAACTTTTCTCTCATGTCATTACTTAACTCTGGATAGGATAATCTTGATAGTCTGTTAACTTCCTGAGACACATCTCGAATGTTCTGATCTTTTTGTAATCTAAGCTACGATAAACTATACTCGCGTGTTTCTGAATAGTTTGATGGTCCAAATAGTTTAAACAATAGCTCTTTAATCTTATTATACGTGACTGTATCAATATCTGGCAATTCGTGAAATACACATCTTGCTTTTCCATCTAGTGCGTGCAAAAGGGATAGTGCTTTTTCTTGTGATGTCCATTTATTAACTTTTGCGGTTATTTCAAATTGACAAAAATACTCATATCCTCTGAGCCATTAAATCTACTAACTCTCTACTCTTTAGCTTTACTAAAAACTCTATTATTTACATTTGCTTCCTCATTTAACATCTCACTTTGCCTAGGGTGTGTTTTGCGATTCGGCATAGTGCAACTCAGATACAAATCTTAATACTATCTCAAAATATCAAATATGTGCAATTACTCAAAAATGTAAAAAAAATGCACTAATATATCCAAAAAAAAGAAAAAGTGTTATCTTTTTACAACGAGTTACTCAGTAAATCAATCGTAAATAAACCTCTATAACTTCCAAAACTGAAGTAATAATTAAAAGTAAAATGGAAACCTCAATAACTTGAAAAATTGTTATTCGAGACCCCACGTTGGGCGCCAATTGTCGGATATTGTTGGTGTGTGAGGTCTTGTATGTGCGTTTGGGTGTTTGTTCGCGTTTGTTCTTTCTCTATCTTTTTCAGGGAATTTTTTTTTATTCAATAACAATTTTATTAAACGACGAAAATAAATGAAAAGAATTGAACTAACTGAACTCTAGAATAATGTTAAAAATAATATGTCAATGAACGAACTGGAATACAGAAATTATAACTTCTTCTTATTGGGGTCGGGCAACATGGGTTATGTTTCTTGCCGTTCAATCGTCAAACCTCGACGTGTGTGACCGATAGTGGTGTTGATAAACTCCGAGAGATAAATGAAATGAATAAAGAAAGATTACAAAAAAATCCAAGCTGCGTGCGAAACTATACCAATGAGTATAGAATCCAGCAAAGAACCCTAGGTCCACAAAAAGCACAACAAAAGGATTTGCTTTTGCTGGATCCCAACAACGAGGTGGATGACCAAAGACATGTTTTCACTGGGCCTGTCAGTCAGTCAGTCGGTCGGCTTTTCACAACCAGGGCCTGTTTTTACTGGGCCTGTCATTCAGTCGGTCGGCTTTCGCACAACCAAGGGCCTGTTTTCACTGGGCCGTCAAGTCTAATTGGCTTTCGCACAACCAGGGCCTGTTTTCACTGGGCCGTCAAGTCTGGTCGGCTTCGCGTTGAAGGAATTTGAAGTATTTTTAGTCAGCATTATTTCATAATTCTGACAATATTTATATTGATCGATTGATTTGACGATGGATCAAAAAAAGAAGTTGAAAAATTTGATTGATTGGTTTTATTGAAAGTATGTCAAGCAGGCAATGGTGATTTTTTTATGCAGGGTGAGAGGGGATCCGGGGCGTTGGAAGGTTGTAAAAACTCCAGTGAGAGGACAGTAGTTGACGTTTACAGAACTTGTGATGTGGTATACGGTGTTGCTGGCGGTGATGTTGGTGTTAAAGATAATGACATTTATTTGCGCGTTTATCAGATGCCAATGGTAAAGGTGGTGATAATTTATCAGGTGTTGATGTTAATGTTAAAAGTGGTGGTCATTTATCAGCTATTGGTAATCTTTCAGATCTAGTTGGTGGAATTTATTCATGTGTTGACGTTAATGGTAAATGTTTTTGACTCGTTTATTATCAACCGGAACAGCAAAAAGTGAATTTACATACAAAGCAAAGAACATTTAGCCAAAAAATAGATGTATATAATAATGTTTTAAAATAAAACATAAAACTTAAAACATGAAAACATAAAACAGATATTATAAAGGTAGTTAAGAATTCAACGGCGAAGGCTATAATTCAAACCGATGTCTTTAAAAAACATGTTGGTCTGTTTGCCCCGTTTTTAACATGTTTGGTTAATTTATGTTTTTTTAGGAGTGACACATTTCCTAGTTGGTGCAAACATGCTATCGTCCGACTTATCCTGAAGAGGAGCAACCTGGGTCATGATAGACCAGTGTCTAATCTTATTTTTATTTCTAAAATTATTGAACGATTAGTAGCAAAACAAATTCTTGATCATGTAAAAATTAACAGATTGCTGTCTGTCCATCAGCCTGACTTTAAAAAACATCATTCTACTGAGACTGCTATCTTATAACTTTTCTCTGATCTGTGTTCAGCAATTGATGTACAAAAGATAATACTCCTAGCTTTCCTTGATATGAGTTAGGCGTTTGACTGTGTTGACCACAAGTTTCTACTAGACAAGTTGTACCTTAGTTTTGGTATTGGTGGTTTGGTTTTGGAATGGTTTAACTCTTATTTGGATGGTAGAACTCAACAGGTACTGATTGGAGGTATGAAGTCTGATGTCAGTAGGGTTATCTTCGGGGTGCCTCAAGGATCTGTTCTTGACCCACTACTGTTTTTGTTATACACATCAGAGATATTCAATGTTACTGAATCATTTGGGTTCTCATGTCACGCCTTTGCCGATGATATTCAGATAATAGTTAAAACTACAACTGATTCGTTTCGAATGGAGATAGATAAATTTGTGGAATGTTAGACGGCTGTTGATTTATAGATGTCGCTGAATGGTTTAAAACAAAACTTCTACTGGTGGGAACATGGCAGCAATTGGCAGGATTGGAGATGAACTCAATTACAGTGCACAGTGAGAATTTTGTTTTGTAACAATGCAACTAACTTGGGTATTGTGTTTGATTCAAATCTAACATTTAAGTACCATATCAGGATTTTGTCAAGAGATTGCATGTATCAGGTCGGAGGAATTAATCAAATTCGTAGATCGTTAAACGTTCCAACACTTCAGACTCTGGTTGTTTGCTCAACATATCAGAATAAAGAATTTATACATAGGCACCTCAAATCATGTATGCCTTCAATCAGCCTAACACCAATCAGCCTGAACCAATCGCTCATCCGCCTAATCTAGTTTCATTATATTAATTATTATAAATTATTTTTTTTCTTCCTAACTTCCATGTATTCCACTCAACTTGCATCTAAAACTAAACTTATCTCCCTTTCGCTGTATTGAGTTCAAATTTATTGAGATTAAGTGTCAGGTTGCATCGTTTTGACCATGTAGTTAGAGTCCACGCAAAGGTAGTCCTCTTGAAACCAATGTTTTTACAACTTCTACCACGCGAACAAGAGTCGATTTCCAGTAATTTATCTCAGATTCCAATTGATCATTCAACTGAGAGTTTATTTGATCTATAGCACGATCTCTCGTTTTGCAGGCATGTACGCAGTCTCTATGAGATAATGAATTTTCATGTTCTTTCAGCGCATTATAAGCATTCTTCCAATCATTAAAACCTTCTGATGTTAATTTTGTTTGTACATTCGATTTCTTTAGAAACAAAACACCAATTCCACAAAATACAGCTCCAGTGCTTTCTGAATAAACAAGCCATTCTCGCGACATTTTTTCTCCGTTAATAAGAGTATAGTCAAACATACTTGGTGTGAGGCTGCGTATTTTGCCATCACTGTACTCTTTTTTGGATTTACTAAAGTCCATATCTTCATTTCACTTGAAGCCATATTTGGCCACAAAATCGCGCGTCTCATTATTAACTTGCCATAAAGTAGGGTCATCAGATAAACGGATAAATTGCTCCACATTTTCTGAGACATTCATCAGACAATTTTGTTAATATCTCCATGGAGGCCCTGTACAAGAAAGATATTTATTCAGGTGAAGTAATTTAACCAAAATGTTTCATTATTTCTTATTTAGATTTTTAAAAAAGACAAACAAACCCATCATCATCTGAGACATTTGATTTATCATTTGTCTCAGTTTTAGATTCTTCAACCGCGAATGATCTCTCTTCGTTACATGCTAAACTGGACCTATAGATAGACAGCAATATTATTTGTATGCGAAATTTTAGCCAAATCAATTTTTAAAAACAATATGTTCAAAGAAATGTCTTGCACTAATGAAAAGCGCATCGACTAACTTATCTTCAGTATCATTTCATTCTTCCAATTGATCTCCACTTCCACTGACTGCCGACTGAAAAAACTTGTTGATTTTCTTCGTTCTTTCCAAATCCGTATTGTTTTTCATTTCTTTGTCTTTTCGCAATTTTGCATATTGTTTCCCACTTAATCTTTTTCTATCATCGCTCATTTTACCTCTTTTTATGAAACTACAAATATGGCCTTAACACGACAAGACAAGATGGCGAATTTAAAAAAGGGTCTATCTAATTCAATGATCGAACCACATAATTAAAATTACATATATTGGAAAGAAAATATTATCGCCCACATATACTACGTACCTTTACTTATAAGTTGTACCTTTATCTTTAGATTAATAATTAACGTTTAGTAATCAAATCATAATACAAGCTCATCAAACTCATTAACAAAAACTTTTGTAAAATAACAGGCACTAATAAAGTAATTTTTATTTGATCGCTAGAAATTATTTAGTTTTACGTTTTTCATTGTTGCCGTTATGTTTGAGTTTGTTGTGTCATTATTAGTGAACAGTTAACATAATTAACTGCGTTCAAATTTTTGTAGCTGTGTACACAATTATTGTGAAAAACGCGACCATGAAAAAAAAACGGTATTTGTAAATATTGTTACAATTTAGCGCCACTTGTAGTCATTCGTCCTCTGATTAATTAATTATTGTTCCAGGGATAAAAGTACGATTTTTTTGCATGACATTATCGGCTATATGTTCCGATACATGTATTTTAAATATAGGATTAGAACGAACGGCAACTGTTAATTGATTTTTTAAAGTTTTAAATTATATAAACTTGAACACCATAATTTTTGAGTAAAGTATCAATTTCAATAAATATTTTTATTCAACTTGAACATTTTTAAATAACTAGTTTTTAAAATTTGCCGCCCCCCAAAATTTGCCGCCCCAGGCCGATGCCTGTTGTGCTTGTGCGTTAATCCGCCACTGGTCATGTGCTCATTTGCATGTGCATTGACCTAATTAATTCGTCTGCGCTTCCATGGAAAATCAATTGCGTTTCAATTATAATTTATGATTTATTAATTTAATCATGTCAATTACAATTTATAAATTAATCTGATTGTGCGTATCTGCGTGCTTGCATGTGTGTTAGTCTGTGTATGTATGCATGTTGATTTAATTAATTGACATAATACTCCTCAATTTTAAAAAACAATTTTGTCCTCAAATTAAAAATTAATGTAAAAAAATTCAATCAAGAAACAAGTAAAACATGATAATATGATTATTAACATTTATAAACACAACAATCGTTATCACGGGATGACCTAGTGTTTTGACCGATTTATAAAAAACGAATATACAAAGTGCAGAGTATGAGGTGACAAAAAATTGCGCCCTGTCCCATGTAAAAATTAATATGTAAGAATTACTGGGTTACTTTAGATATTTAGTTAGCGTATTAGGAAAATAATATTATTGCACATTCCCCAATTTATACATAATTCTGAGAATTTATTTGACTCGCGAAAGCGGTGAAAGTTAATGGGCAGAAAACAAGTTTTTTAATGTTCAAATTAAGCCACAAAGCGCCAACAAAAATATCGCGTTGGCGAAAGCGGTGAAAGTTAATGGGCAGAAAACAAATTTTTTAATGTTCAAATTAGGCCACAAAGCGCCAACAAAAATATCGCGTTGTTCAAAAAACATATTTTGAGGTGAAAATGAAAGACGATCTTCGTATAATGAAAAAATATTTAATTAGATTATTTATTGACCATTCTGTTCTTTTTGCTATCTTTCTGGTAGTATCGTGATTTCACGTTCATAAAATTTTTGGTCTTTGCAGGCAAAAGACTGATTGAACGTGATTTTTGACGTTCATTTTACCGTCCAAAAAATTTTGCAGTGGCCGGAACAAATAATAATCCAAAGAGACCAAGTCTGGGGAATATGGTGTGTGTGGCATTCCATCCAAGCTTTAAAAGCTTTTGGCGAGTGACCAAACTTGGTCTCGCATTATCTTGATAGAACACTACACCTTTTCTGTTGATTAATTCTGGCTTTTTCTGTTGACTTCCGAATTAATTGTTGCGTTATCCGGTAAAAACTCGAAAAAAGTGACTCCATTAAAATCACGCCAAACAAACGACAGCATCAACATTTTTTGATGGATATTGACTTTTGAAATGCTGTGACCCGGTTCATCTTTTCTGCTCCATAATTTCTGGCGTTTGACATTGTTATATACAACCAATTTATCGTCCCCAGTAATGGGCTTCAAAAATGGATTATTTTCATGACGTTTGGGGAGTGAAGTACAGACGTCAACGCGACGACAAAAATTTCTTTTAGTGAGGACATGGGGAACCCATATATCGAGCTTCGGGGTTAAACCTAGGCCTAAACCTAGGTCATAATCAATTGAATTTGATAAATTCAACCTCTCACCGATCTCACGTTTTATTCGCCGGTTTGCATCAACTAATGCTTTTATCGCGTCTTTATCAACTTCAACCGGCCTTTCAGACGTGGTGTTTCTTGGACATCAAAATTGCCGGATTTGAAATTTTTCAAAAAATTTCTGGCACTGGCGTATTGTCAACACATCTCCTTCATAAACATCCTTCTGGCTTGAACAACATTTTTACCTTGAAAAAAGTGAAATAAGACGAAAATGACTAAAAAATACCGCGTAAAATCAATTGAACTTATTCACACACAAGCCTTGCTATATCAGCTGTCAAAACATATAATGACATTGCGACTTAAGTGTGAAGTTAGCTGTGAAAAAATACAATTACATTCTCTGTCGGGAAAAAATGAAATTACATTCCGAAAAATATAATAGTTTAAGTTTATAGTCTATCTCTTCTCACATATCTTCTTATCTTGTTCTTTTGCACTGGCTACCTTATAGGTATAACAAAAAATAATTTTTAAACTTTGCACATTAATGTACAAGTCTCAATCTAAATTATTTCCTAAGTATTTATCAGATATCTTAATTGAACCCCGGTTTACGATTGTCTTCTTGTTCTCATTTCTTTTCATTTCGTGTTAAACACTCTTGCGTTTGCTTTTTCTGGTCTTTTTCTATGAAACTCTATCTCCTTTTCTAACTACTCAGAGTGGATCTCATGACTTAGTTTGTAAAATTCATCGGATTGCGCTGATGAACATCGAGGAAATGGCGCTTTATAAACTATCTGATTGATTGATAATCAATCAATCAGATAGTTTATTTACATTGAAAAATAGTTTTTTAATAACTCAGTTGTAATAAACTAATTGATGAATTTGCAAAACTAAAAATGTTTAATATTTGTTTGTCTTAATGTTTTAAAAAATTGCGTATATGTTTGTTTGCTTTAATAAATTATGTTCATTAATTTTTTTACATGTTTTTTTTCGAACCCGATAATAATCTTGGAATCAATAATTATATTGATCCACTTTTATATGCATTAAAACCAAACGTAAGTCATGAGTTATGACTGAAAAACAGACCTGGTATTACAATGTAGCTCAAGACCCTCCTTAGACTTAGTCCACCGCTGCGTATAGCAATATTTGCTTTTTTATTTCTACTTTGGAGTCATGCATTTCTTATCGAAATCCATAATACTTTATTCGCATGCATTTCAGCCCATGCTTTATATCATAGTATTTCTCGCAATATTTTGATATCCGAAACACTTTAACGCTTTAACGGAGCACGTCTTTGACTAATTTACAAAGCTTCGACAATCATTCTTGATTTAATCAAAATACATGGGGTACTCAAAAGTTAAAATAAGATAATAAAAAAACGCTGCAAAATAAATTAAGTAAGAACGCAACACGTATATTTTACATGAAGTAAATTTTATTGCGTGGAATTAATGAAACCAATAAAAAACAATATTGGGTATTGAATAAAACTAATTGTAACTAAGTGTAAAATTTGTAAATTCATACTAATGTTAACATGCAATTAATTATTCCGTGTTAAACGCATTGATATTTTTGTAGACATCAAAATTACAATTCAATCTGTTTGAAAAAATTTAAAAAAATTAAAATAGCAAAAGTTTGGTGGTTGAATGTATTGAATACAATTCTACAAGTTGATAGTACGAAATGATTATATATTGTTTTCAAATTTACAACTTAAATATTAAAATAAAATACCAACAATGTTTGAAACTTGGAAACTAATTTCATAATTTCCTTTGGAGGACAAATGATGACCATTCTTGAGTTTAAAGGATCAATCAACTGAGATACATATTTCTGCACAACGTTGTTTAGATCGATTACTGTGACTTTTTGAATTTTTTCCAGAAGCAATCTGTATTAAATTATGCCATTAACGTTAATTATCATCATTTGAGGTGAAGCTATGCATTGATTTGATAAAAAAAAGTGATCTAGTAGTTATTGGAGCTTGATGTTGCATCAGATGCTCAGTTTTAAAATAAAAATCAAGATATAAATGATAACGGTAATTATGATTTTTCTACGAATATATAACTTAAATTTAAGTTACGTAACGCGACAATGGATAGGAAAATGATAATGCATCTGTGAAATGATTTTTCTTAAAACTATGAATGATGTAATTAAACTGCGACGATAAAATTGATTAAAGAAATAAAATAAAATAAATAAATAAATCGAAAATGAAATAACAGAAAAATGAAACTCATTCTTGATTTGAGTTTTATAAAGTTCATTTCCAAAAGCATTCTGTATTTACTAAGTTGCAAAATAACAAATTAAATCAAAATATCAAAATACATGGATTGTTTTGAGATTCTTCTTAAAATACTGTTGAAAGTGGAGAACGTAGCATTTCTAAACCAAAGTAAATAAAAACATCTAATAAATACTATGTTGCAAAATTCAAAAAGAGAAAAATTTTGTTAACCATTAATCATATAATGATAAAGTCGCTATGCGCATTTATCTGTGCCTCATGTGCACCAACTGTGAAAAGAAGTGGTTATTCTCAACCGCGTCACTGATTAAGAGTAACCTGAGGTCAACAATGGGTGAAACACGATTAGCGTTATTATACATAATAACAATAGAAAGTGAACATTATCTTTTGACGATGTTATAAGATAGTTTTGCAATTAAAGTTATTTATGCGATTCAAAAACAATTTAATATTGAAATTAATGTTCATCTATATTTTAAAAAATAAAGCTTGGCATGTATTATGTTCATGTATGTGCAGTCGTAGTCTAACAATATTTTTTTGTATATTATTGTTAGTGAATTCATGCAGCACCATTTTATTAAATTTCAAAAACGCTGACAAAGCTGACATAGTGAACAATTGATAGCAAAAAATGCAAAAATAGCGAAGAATCCATCTTTAAAAAAATCAAAATTGCAAAAAAAGATAACGATCAAAATAAATAAAAAATCATATCAAGAATGTGTACTTGAACAGTTTTTCTAAGTTTGGGTTGGTAAAAAAATGTTGGACCATAAACTGGAGGGTCAGTTTAGACGGCCACCAAAGGCAATTCGGTCACGGTCAAAGAGGTCTTTGCTACTACTGTCTGGCATTGCTACTACTATCTGTAAAAAACTCCGAAAAAAACTTTAGCTGGCATCAGTAACTTCTGTATTTTTCGATTTATTGTATTGTTATAACATCAAAGATACCACTTTTGACACTAGTTTTGTGATTAGCACTATTGTCAAGTTATCGAGTTCACTCAGTAGATAAAAGTGTCATGTCTTGTGTAGTTACGCGGTAGCCTTGGTTCTGCGTACGTCAGAGCTGTATAATAAAAGACAAAAATATAAAATAAAAGGTCTTTCATGATTATAGGTTTTCTAGATCACGTTATTAATCCTGTTAACGACCGACCTAGCACCAACCTTTCCAAATTATTGGGAGTTTCGGGCAACGTCTTTTTCTGCGCCATACCACACCAAGTCATTGTTTTCAAAACCTGCGTTATTTTTTTCAGGTCACGCCGAGTTTTCGTTGTTTCTGTTCCTCTAGCAATAAACAAACGTTGTGGTTCTTTCTTGATTTTGTTGGCACTTGAAGCCTCAAGATAGCAACACGCAATTATAACGTGCATCGCAATTAACACGTGCATCGCAGTCGAAATCATCCGCAGGGAGGACAGACTTATGATCGCTAATGTAATTATTTGAATAAGCTAGTGAAATGATATGCAACTAATATGTGATATATGCATTATAATATTTATTGGACTTGAAATGTATTGCAACAGAACAATATTTTTTAACAGATGATTGTGTTAATTTAATCATAAATTAAACAAACTTTAGTTTTTTATACAAATTTCTTTTTAAATAGATTAGCAGTTTCGTATTTATTAGAATAGTGATCAATTTTCAACCACAGTTTTCGAATTCGGTTTTTAATAATACTAACAAACTATGACAAACTTGTTGTAAGAGAGTGGCACACCTCTGAGGCAGCAAACCAACATTTGCTTGGATAGAAGGCTAGGCGTTGAAATAGAACGAGTAATATCAAACATGCATTTACATCTAGCATTTTCAAGCTCTAACTGAGATATCGAGATATGATTCTTGACGAGACTTTCCTATTGAAAAAGATTATCTTATTCATACAACATTCACAATAAACAAAAAACACAAAGCATTGTTAAAATAATACATTTTGATACCTAAACTATAAATAAAAATAGAATCACAAAACTAAACGTTTTTATGTAACATAGATTTTTAATGGACATATTAGAAATACACATTAAAAAAAATTAACTCATTGAATTGTGATGTTAACAAATATTATTATTCGTTGTCTCTTGACAGCGTGTGCGTGTGCTAGTTGTTTTTCGTATAGCTACGTCAACAAACAAAATAAATCCACATCGGTCAATTGAACAATATGATTTCGCCAACAAATCATTCAATAAACTATTCGACCTTTTTTCTCAACCAATAAAATTCTACAAAAATCGTCAATACTTATTTATAGAACAATAGGGCAATATCGTGTACATTGCCATTCATTATTATCAAATGAACGTTGAATATTCATTGTCAACTAGGTAATCGTTTCCAATACACACCGTCATCATCCTTTTAATCATAAATTGAATACTAATTGTCGATATTTTCCTCGCTATTATCATTGGAATTCTGGTAAGTCGTTAAAGACATTTTTATTATTTGTTATCTGACTATTAACTATTAATTTTTTCATTTATTAAATATTATTTTTGTATATATTATCTTCACTGATTTGAATATTATTCGTTTACATATCATCATCAGTCAATTAATTATTATGCGGCTCTTATTAATTATTACTTATATAATACTATTTTTGAATATCTTATATTCACTAATTCAAACATTATTCAACGTTCGTTTAAATTTGTCCACGATTATTATTTTCATTTATTGCTCACTCGTACATAATTCTTTTGACATTTGAATAATGATAGTAGCCGCTCTCATTGGCGTTTGCAGTCACCCAGTGACCGAACTGTAGATCCGTTAGAAAATTTTGTTCCAAATGCGGATCTGGAGTCGCGTTGTACTGAGGCTGTCTGTAGAACATGGAAATTTGCAAAAAAACTTTTAGATCTTCTAAATAATATAATAATTAATATTTTAATAATAAATTTATTGGTTGGCAGCCAATAAAGCGGCTCATTTTTATGATACCATCATGGTTAATGACATTGACATTCTGGAACTTACATAAACCAATGTTTATGTAATAATATTTAATTTAATATCTGTTCTGGTAATGCGCGTCTTTTCTCACCTCTAGAATAAAATAATTTATCTTAGCATTTCAGCATTCAAACAAACTCAATTTAATTACACAAGTCAACAAGGTTTTAGAATCCGAAAGGCGATGTGTAATTTTTGTAGCATTTTTTAAACTGTTTCCTAATCTCTATACAGATTTTTCCAAACACGTACAGATTTTATGACAATCTAGATTTTGTGAAATAAAATATTTAATGAAATATATACAATGTAAATATATGCTAATAATAATCATAATTGTGTTTCACGTTTCGGATTTATTTGTTGAAGCAAATATTTTATTAATTTATCAATCGATATAACTAGAACTTGTTCAAATCATCTTGATACTTTCTGTTATGTTTGCGGTTCATTTACAACCAAAGCTCAACGACGGTCTATCACTACAGATTTGAAAAGGATTTACAAATTATATATCTGTTGTCCTGAGATCTGAGATCAGGATAAGTCGTGGGCTGCAACACTTGTTCTAATGGGTTGCATGACTGGTAAACGGAGGTTATCGATGCCTTTTGCTATTCCGATGATATGGAGATAACCTTGGGATCACCAAAGCAATTGCTACTTCAGTTGAGGCAAAACTAGTAGATTTTCGGCTAAAACGAAACATAAGATAGCACATCCAAACTCGGATTCTGCTATGAAACCTGTTAGTGTTAAAAGAAGAATAAAATGATCCGGTTAGAAACCTAAATTTGTCAAAGACTCGAGTACTGGCAACAAAAAACCAAAAGATATCAGTATCACACTACAGAAAACAAAGCCGTCGTGTAGCCACGTTCTTTACGGTTAAAGACCAGATGTGTTACTGCCATGCCAACAATATTTCTATTCTTCAGTTCGTTACAAGAACTCGCAGACGAATGGCGTCTTTTCAACGACTCATTCAAAGAAGCTTAAAGCCAGTCCTGCTGCATAATGGAAATGTGAAGCTAAGTATTCCGATTGGCCATTCCGTCCACCTGTAACAACATGAAAGTCTTTCACTACTTATGTTTCTCCAGTTAGTGACATTTTAGCAAATATTTAACATTTTCCCATCACTACGCCGATTTAAATCTGATGCTCTTGGTAGCGCGGATTTTTAACAAATATATTTATGTGCTCTTGGGAGATGTCTAGTCCTGTCAAGAATAGATTATTTCAACTTTTTATTATGAAAGACCTTGCAAAAATCTATCAAGAATATCTACAGACTATTCAAAATAAAACTACAAAAATTACTTTAAATAAACCCGTCGTTTCAGTTCAATTCAAAAAAGAGACAACATGCTCGGGGTGTCTTTGAAGCAACTATGCGATTCGGCAGTGTTCATATTATTATCATTTTATATATAAATTAATAAACAGATAAAAAATTGATGTTTGTTAAAAATCTTTGCTGACAAATCTAAAAAATTGTGACAATTCTGGATTCGAAAAGATGATTTTGTTTCTAATTTATTAAACGGTTTCGATAAATTTAAATTATTTTGTATTTTTAAATGTATAAACCTCTTTTATCTGAATAACCAATTTCTAGTTATTTATAAACAAAAATTTAGGTAAATTTTGTGAAAATATTAGTGAAAATGCTTTACTGGATTAAGCATAAAATTGTTTATAATTTTCCGTGTTTGTTTAATATTTTTATGGTAAAAAATTTTAACTTGGCTAAACAATTTAAAGAACTTTTTTTTATTGAATACAGTTGGTTTTTGAAAAGTTTTGGTTTTCAAACAAGATTATTTTACAATTTAGAAGTAAACCAGTAAATTTCATCTTTTCATGATTAAGTTTAAAAAGACAAATTTCAGAAAATAGTTTAAAATATGATTAAATTCGGATAAAACCAAATCAATGTCAAGCGAATGATATATTGAAGACCAATCATAAACAGCAAACCTATTTATGGATAATCGATAGACTTATAGGAAAAAAATTAAGATTTAAATTTGGGTATTTTTTGCATGTTGGAACATTATATTGAACATGGTAAAAATAAGCAAGTGGTCTGCTAAGTCTGATGTTGTTGTTGACGTATGATTAGAAATGTTGTTTGATATTGCTTATAAGAGAACTGAACAGACCAAAATTTCTGCTGGGTTTACAAATAAGAGGGTTGATATAGAAAGAATGATTATAAAACGTATGATTAGAAATGTTGTTTGATATTGCCTATAGAAAAATTGAACAGACCAAAATTTTTGCTGGGTTTACAAATAAGAGGGTTGATATAGAAAGAATATCAAGTGTTTAAAAAGTCTGAGGAAGCAATTTTATTAAAGGAGAGAAGGTTGATATTAAAATCACCAGGTATATATACCAAATTTTTATTAAGATTTTTGCTGGTCAACATTTTTAAATGAAAATATTTAAATCATAACTAGGTGGACTATATATGACCCGATTACATTACACATATTTATATATAATATTGTTATAACTGACCGGTAATCCCAGTTAAAAAGTGACACGAAATAACTATCGTTTTATTCACAACTCGATAATCAATGTTAATCAATTACTCGATAATCAACGTTAATTAATTTTACTAATAAAAGTTAATGTTTACAAAATATCAAATTAACGTTCAGAGACTGTCGCTTTCCAAATAACATATCACTAACAAACGTTTATCGCAAATAAAATAAAAATACAACGCAAAATCAAACATCAAATATTGCTTTCCAATATCAAATATTCAACAGCCACCATTCAATATCTTGCAGTATCACGCCTCCTTGTTTGAAGCAGTCGGCCGTGACCCCATGTTGCTGCACAATGACGACAGTAATTGTTTCTAGGGCGTTGTTTACAACCTCGCAGTAGATGTCCTTTTTCTCCACAATTCCAGCTTTTCCCGTTTACCATTTCGTCGTAGATGTCCTCTTTCTTCACAATTCTAGCATTTTAGCGCATCATAATACCGATTACAATCTCATCGTAGATGTTTCTTTCTCCACAATTCCAGCATTTTGGCAAAATCACGTTTACAATTTCGTTGAAGATGTCCCTTTCCCTCACAATTTCAGCACTTTGGCCCTCCATAATCCTGACCCTTCTGTTCTAGAACTATTCTTTGACACGAACATTCTTCAGGAATTTGGTGCAGCTTTTAGTCAGTCTTTGATGTTTGCTTTGCTGACTCGAATGTAAGACTGTAGACAACGACGTCTTTGAGGTTGCGTTACTCCGCTTATATGAGGGTTTGTCGTCTAAGTTTGGAATCTCAAGCAGTCTTTACAAACTTTTTCAATGCAGTTTCTTATCTGTGTTGTGGGTCGTACGTGAGCTAACCGTTCAATATTTTGTGCCAGCAGCTGTAATAACTAATGACTCTCCAGGTAGCTGCGTCCGGTCGGGATTGGGACTTTACCGTAATGTAAATTCAACGCATTGTCAAGACTTTTCGACTGAAATCATTAAGAGAACTTCTGCTGCTGACCCTCGTAAACGCTACCACAAGAGCCATTGCCCGCTCTTTCATTTCAGCCATAATTCATTGCTGCTGCTTCAAAGTGGGCTTTATAAATGTTCCAAGAAGTTTCTCCGTCAAATGCTGGCTCTTTGAATGTCTTCGTGGTCACGTGGCTTAGAGGTGTGGAGCTTATATTTTAAGTTTCTTCCAGACCTTGTTTAAGTTTATCAATTTTTCAAGATAATTTCTGATCGAGCTCGATAACATTTTGATCAACTTTATATTCAATTTTTGAATTTTATTATATAATTGATTACTGATATCAAACTTTTCTTTGAGTTCTCTCAACGGTTAGCATCAATCGCGGCCGACAGTTCGAGTTTGGCGTCTATTTTTTTCTCCCGTCTGTTTTATTTGTTTTCTCATTTGTTTTATTTCGGTTAACTGTTATTCAATTTTTGCTGACTATTGTTCAACTTTTGTAGATTGTTTAATTTCTGATGCAGTAGAACCATTAATTAGGTATTTGTCTCAGCGCCAACAACTGTCTTTGACTAGACATCCTGATCGTCAAACTCAAATTCATCTGGATTTGTGTTTTCATTAACAAGGTCTTTTTCCGTTAGGCGTGCTATCATTGCTCCTTTGTTTCGCTTTTGTAACTCTTTGAGCAGCTTTTTTTGCTTTCTTTTTCTAAAATTAAAAAGTGAATTTTCTTTTCTCAAAATTGGTAATATAAGATAGTGAACATTTTTTTCCCAAAATGAGGAAATTTGAATTTTTGAACCACTAAGTCATCGTTGGTGGGATGAATTTAAACTAGATTGAATCTCATTTTTCAGGTAGATTAGTGCATCTTCAACCAAACAATATACAAGTATTACAAGTAGAGCTAGTTATTGTCATTATTTCTGCTATACAAAACCACTTTTAAGGTGGATAAAACCAACATAAGCATACAAAACAGAGCAACAACTTGTTCTATGATTTTTGAAATGAAAAAAAAAGAGTCAATTAGTCTGTAGTTGCTTTTTTAGTTGCTTAGAATTTTTTAATTTAGGTCTCACTTTTGCCGTTTTATTGAAATTTGTCTTTTAACATACACATACTAGACGACATGATGACATTAAAGGCAAAATGTAAATCGAGTTTTTCCTTCAACAAAAAGGTTGTAATCGGATCAAAGCTGCACGATTTGCAACTAGACGGCGGGACTAATTTTTTAAAATTTCATTTCAAAATGTAAAAAAGACTCATGTTGATATAAAATTCGGGAATTTTAAGTATTTTAAAAGTCGAAATTGCTAAAAACTGTAGGCTAAGAGATGTACTTTTCCAAACATGGACGAAACGGTTTTCTACAGCCATCTAAAATTTTAAAAATAGAAACGATCATCGACTGATACCATTTTTTTCTTTTACTTTTTCTTTCCAGTGAAAGAGATCAACGGTATTGTTTGGCATCCTTTCAAACCTGCGTGTGGAGTTGGAACGTTTTTATTCAAAAAACATTTGTAATCGAACCAGTCGTTGAATTTTGAGCAAACTTTTAGAGCTGTTTATAATTTTGATAAATACAGAAATATATTCGGAAGTGAAATGTCAAGAATTTGTCAAACAGGCTGTTTATGTTAATATGACCAAACTTTAAATCATCGTTTTATTTTAACAACGCATAAAATGAATACAATAATATATTGACATTTGGTATTCAAATTATTATAAATTTCATACTATGAGCAGATAGGTTTGATGAAAAGCTTCAAACAAATCTGACGATCTTGTAATGCTTAGCTGCATCAAGCCTTCATTTATATCGGGAATCAAACTGGCATAAAAGAAATTGTAAATAAAATTAGTTAAATCATGAGAAACTAATAATCATTAAAAAAAATGTTCTGAAAAATATCTTTGAATAAAATAACGCCAAAAACCTAAACGAATAGGCAAGTCCTTTTCCTCTTATTAGTTTCCACATGGGTCCCTCCAGCTCAGTAATAAAGTTACAAAACACAAGAAGAGCTGGGATATCTTGGTTATCGAAATCTTTTGGACATAGACAAGAACGAATTAGGTATGACGAATCAGTGGATCCGATTCCGACTATTGATGATTTAACATGAAATAACTGAGGTTTAACAAATGATGAATCAAACGTAGAAGTCCATCTATGAAAAATTTATGCAAAAAACCGAAGTGAATTTTTTTGATCCATGAAATAATAAAATTTTAAATATCAACTTTGTTAAACTATTAGTAGTAGCAGTGGTTATTCTTTTTGAATGGAATAATAAAATAAACTCTTTGTTCCAAACAGAATAAATGCTTTTGCCAATTCCCAAAGATTTATTTAACATGTCAACATCTGCTGTCATGTGAATGTACAAATTTTCGAGTCGAAAAATACTCTCTTTTATTTTGTTAAGATTGTCTAAGTGCTGAAAAAAAAGTTCATAAAAACCAATTAAAAAAATATATGAGAAATTAAATCCTAATTTGTGGTCCAGCAAAAATAATGATAATTATAATTTATATAACAAAGAACCGCTTACATTTTTTATATTTCAGAAACACGACAAAATATTTTATAGAAATCATTATTTTTAACTTTATAATTGATGATTTGTCTTTTCTTAACTTGATTCTGTCAATCTCCTACAGCGTGTCAAAGTCGATTACAAATTTGGCCGACTTCGACTCCTTGATTAAAATTTTCCGACTTTGTTACCAACGGGTCCAGATAAATTTCCAAAAACTTTGTTGAATTTTCCCTTACAATTTTAGTTAAAATCAACTACAAAATAAAAAAAGAGTAAAAAGTTTTAGAAATGACTTTTCTTTTCCCTTACAATTTTAGTTAAAATCAACTACAAAATAAAAAAAGAGTAAAAAATTTTAGAAATGACATTTCTTTAGTAAAATCATTCTATATTTATTTTATGCTTATGTTATAAAATATATAGAAGGATAATAATTTAATTGATTAAGTTTTTGCAGCAAATATATGTATGACTAGTTAGTGCTCAGCAAGCAAACTCTTCCAAAAATCATCATTATAATTTTTTCCATTATTGGGATTATATTATAAAATTTGTGAAGTAGATGGTCGCCAATGCCATAATAGGATAAGAAGCGAGAAAGAAGAAGTTGCAATTTTATTGACTATATTGTTGTCTTAAAGAATAAAGGAAAAAATAAAATTTAAAACTGTTAAATGAAAATTAAGTTTAAGTTTAGTTTAAAAGCATCATAAAACAATTAAACACGAAATATTAAGGGTACGAAAAGTTAGCACATTTATAATCCAAAGGAAATGGATAAAAATACCCATAAAAATTGGAACTTTCTTTTTGCGCCTTAACATTTTAGGACATTGGCAACCAACGACTTCCACAAAACCAGTTCTAACATGTTGGTGATATACAACAAGTGACAAAAGGACTTAATGAATGTAATTTATCGTTGATCGCAATTTTTATAATAATTATTAGATTTTCCATTACTTTCATTCGAATGATGTGACCAAAAAACAGATTATTTGTAGTAATGTTTGTAGTAAAGGTCATTGAAGGTATGAGGTCCGACTAAATTTTATAATTTTTTTCAAAAACACATCTCAGCAGCATTAATCCTTTTTTCCATTTTTTTTAGGATTCAGAGCTGTAAGTGAGCACAGAAAAATTGTAACAGTTTTAAATTTGTTGATATTCTGATTTTACTGATGTTTTTCATTTTAGAATGTGCATCTTTCGTCATACCTATTACATTTACAAACTGAGATATTGAAACTTACGAGATAATTGAAGAATTTGACTTGTTTCACTTGTTTACCATTAATGATTATGGAGTAAATCTGGGTGGTTTTGCTTTTACTGATAAACATGCACTCATTGATGTTAATTTGCCTTTTCTTTTACTTTCAAAAACCAGTTAGCAAATAATTATTTGCAGTTTTTCCATTTATTCCGCTATTGGCATTCGAATAAACGTTCAATTAATTTACGTTTGATTTTTTTTTTATTCTTGTAACGAACAGGACAAACATTCTTTAAAAAACGTTGATTATGAATAACTGATTTAAAAATCATTAAAAAAATTTTAACAGTCTAAATTAATTGTCAATTTTGTGATGATAAACTGTTTTATTTATTAAATCAATTAATATATTTTCATGAAAAATATAATTTTGAAAAATTGAAATTATCGCTTATATTCCATTAACTGCTATGACATCGAATCAGTATTTTATAAAAAACATCATAGAGCATCACAGATTTCGAGATTGGTTGCGAGCTGTTGATACAATGAAATTGATGTTCATTGATTTATGAATAAATATCTGTTGAATCAATTAATTAAAAAAAAAAAACAATTTACTTGAGGTAAATTTTTTTTTTGGTGAAAATCTCTAAGGAATGATTGTTGACATAGAATACTAGAACTGTGAAGTACCGACTCTACGTTTGAAAAAATAAAATTTGAAAAAAATTGATTCGAATACAATAAAAATTTTATTGACGTTCAAACTTGTTGATAGAATGAAACGTTCATTTAAAAAAAAACAGAAGTAATCAAAATGTGTTAACATTACCAAACTTGAACGATTTTTTGAAGTAAATGTTCGTATTAA